TCTCTGCACAAAAAAAAGTTCATAAGATGGAAAGGTTTGGGCTTTATTATTAGCATGGCATCTGTATCACTAAACTACACAATGAGCAGAAATAATTTCTACTTATTTGGGAACTTTGCCAAATACAGAATTTCAATTAGCAGTGACAGCATTTTAGGATAGTCTAATTGTTTCTGTTGTTACTGTTTTATTTTGGCTTTTTACTAGTATACTGAAAACAATAAAAATCAACAACCCCTTAATTTTCTGAGTGGGTTTCAGAAAGAGATGTACAAGGTATAAGTTGTCTGCAGACAGCTTAGAAATCTACTAATGAGGAAGTAGTGTTGATTGTTTAATTTATGATCTTTTGTTAAACAAAAAAGAGCAACAGAAGGGAATTAAACCCCCAACAATCTTTTCCTTTTAATTAGAACCTTTTTATTATTTACCAAATAAACAGAAAAAATAGAAACATATTAGAGTGGCAGGATATTATACCCTGTCTATTACATTTTGAACACCTGAAAAAATATGTTAATACAAATAATTGTTGTCATGTTAACATCATTGGTTTCAAACTGTCTGAAACAATTTTATGTTCTCAATAAAGAATATTTAGCATTTGAACCAAAAACAGTACAGCACGAATAATTAAAGGCTTAAGTTAAATACATAGACAGTCATTTAAATTTAGATCTGCAATAACATTTACTATTATTCTCTAAGGCTTTGACTGTGCTTGACAGAAACAAAGTACTCTGGGATTAATTTCAAGAAATGGTGCCAACTGTGCGCAATTTGCTGTAATTAAGACATGAAAGAGTACTAAATATTCAGATTAAAAGAAGCATGATGGAGTATGATAGAGAATCAAGGTGTGGCATCAAGCCAGTAAAGCACAGTCACTCATGAATGCTCAATAGTGATTGATATGAAACTTATACCTATAAACTTGTAGCATGTACTTAACAACTGTGCAGATAAAAATTAAAATCATGGCACAGTGACTGAAGGTAAAGGGCTCTTCTAAATCCAAAGTGTGTGTGACATCTTCATAAAATAAAAACAGAGCCTAATAATCCATTTTTACACAAACAAGATGCTTAAACAATGAACGGGGGGAAAAAGAGTAGCATGACATTTTTTTCCTTTGTGATATCCCTATGCTTTGGGATATCCCTATGGTCAGATTAACCTACAGCATTTGCCAGAGTGCCAAATGAAAGAGGTCTGTAGCAGTTGGCACCAAGAGGTTAAATACCCCCCTTCTCTCTTTTTTTTATTCATCAAACATTTTTCCTTCTGTTTTTTTTTTTTTTTTTAAGGAAAAGTATTCATTTAGATCAAACTGCATTTCCCATTTTTCTCTCAGAATTAGATAGAATATTTCTTCTTGCCTTTGAACTTATAAGTATTGATTAATGATGTATTTATTGTAATACTGAATCTTTTCTTCAACAGACTTTTTTAAATTAAAGTCCTTGTAACTTTTTGATCCTAGAGGAGATGTGGATACTTGACCCAATTGCTAATGAGGTGCTGTATAATCTCATGTATCCTATAGCTCAAAATAGCAGGATGCAGTATAAAAAGTACATATAAAAGGCCCTATTGGAATGCTTTTTGTCTTCACAGGCAATACGCAAAAGAGATGACCTTCTGAGAAAGTCGGAAGCCGATTTCCTGCAGGCAAAGGAAGGTATCAAAGCAAAAGTGGCTGAGGTGGAGCACCTTGACAGTGTGGTCAAGAAACTGAAAGCCAGTATCCAGGACACACAGAAAGAAAAGAATCAGACAGAGACAGAAACCACCATACTGAGAACTGAGATTCAGCAGCTAAATCAGTAACTGCAGGGTGTGCATAAGCAGTGCAGAAAGACAGGTAATAATGTACAAAAATAGTAATATTACAGAAATGTGAATTTGGTACAGTCTAATGGAATAGAATTTTCAATCATATGGGCATATGACTGTTGCAATCAAATGAATATGAAAGCTTCCCTGTTCTGCTTTAGGGTAAATTTACAGCTACAGACTGTGACTTCATCAAAACAAAATAAACACCACTGAATTTTTTTTTGTAATTCTATTTCTGTTCTATACTCTTTGCATTAATTTGGTGCAACATCTATTTCTGTCACAGAACACCTGCTCATTCACTGACAATGCAAAATGTAATTTGAACTTCACAAGTCTGATATCATTGTTAATATTTTAAGTGACTTTTTAAACCGATATGATTAATCCCTGGTATAGTTAACTTAACAGCTTTAGCAGCAGTGCAACAATGCATATGGATTTTTTTTTCAAGAGAATAGTGTACACAAAAGCAACATAAGATGAAAAAACAAGGAATCATTTGATTATTGGGAATAAATTGCTTTAAAAAAATTTTGGTTGGTACTTTTGACTTTTACACTGAACATCTGTACTAGAACTAGTTTTCAAAATAAACAAATGCAACAAGGAAATTGCATTATTAATATTTTGAAGTCACTGTATAGTAAAGCTTGAAATATACTGCTTTTACCAAATAAAATATTAATGAAGTCATTTGGAACATAATAGACAGCCTGTGTCAACCCCTTAATTTTCTCTTCCACTACTCACAACATTGCCAGATACGTGTTTCTGGATAAAACCCCCTAGAGGTCTGCTGCAAATTCTTTTTCAATACAACCAGATCATTGCAGATAATTGTATTACACAGGGTATTGATCCAAAATCGTTGTGCACCGGAAACATCTGAAAAAACATGATTATAGCTTTCTGTTTATTGTTCGTACATCATATAAGCAGGCTTTTGTGTGAATCACCTGTAAGAAAGGCAAGGTGGAAACATCAGAGAAATTACCTCTTTACAAGAATCTATTGATCACTTTAAATCAAAGAAGTATGTTTGACATAAGATTACCTGCCAGTTTGAACATTAGGTACACTATGTTATAGCCTGGGGCAGTTGTAAGTCTGACAAAGGGATTGTAAATAAAGCATGCAGCTGCTAGTGCCTCTGGCTTGGGATCAACCAAGGCTCAAGTCCAAGGCATAGGTAAACTTAAAATAATTTAACCCTTTTTTACCAGGAGATTGTGAGTTAAAACAGACTATTAAAAGTAGTGACTAAATAACTTTTTGTATGTTTAAATAGTTATGCAATTGCAAAAGACACATTGTTGAATCTGTTTACAAATCAAAGCTGATATCAATTAAATAAATTTTGATAGATAATTCCACCTCCACACAACAGATCACAGCTCTAAGCTATTTCTAAGAACTTTTAAAGCATTGTTAAATGTCTGTCTCTGAATAATACAGACAGTGCTATCTCAAATAAAATTGACAGGGACTTAATAAGTTCTCAAATTTAAATAAACTTCAATTGTTATACAAAGAATTGTCTTTTGGACAAAAAATATAAATAGATCAAAGTTGAAAGCTTTTAATGGAGAGGTACATATTACATGTGAAGTATTTATCCTTCTTTTGATTTTAAACCTGAATCGAATACCAGGAGCCCACAGATAACTAACATTATTCAAAGAAGGAGTAATACTGGTTCCACTGAAATCATCTACCACACAAAAGTTATGTAAAGATGTATTACAGAAATGGGTCAAAAATACATGGACAAATAGAATTTTGTTATATATTATGTTTCTTATTGAATGATGGCAGCTTAGGCTTGACTTTACTAAATTGCTCATTTTCTGACTGTGAAGAAAAACCTGTTATAAGTTGTTTTTTTAGGCTGTGCATTTTTTTAAACATGTGTTGAAACTAATAACCGTTTAACTCATTAGTTCACATAGAGTTAGATTTGCATGATGCTCAGTAAAGATGAGCTGTGGGTGATATGTAGTTTGTTTAATATTTAGCTGTTAATGTTAGCTATGTACCTTCCCGAGGTACAAATTTAAACAATATATATACAGTACTTTTTACTTATGGAAATGGTACTGCTGCGTTTTGTGAGAAATTGGGTTCTGTTACTGCCAATGAGAAAAGAACAAAGCCATTTTTTTATATAAAGAAATTGTTCTGCTGGATATTCTGAATTCATAAAGGAAGATATGACACCTGAATTTAGATCCTGTGCATGTGGTGAATGTTGTCAGATATTGAAGACAATAAATGCAGAATCATGTTAACAGAGCACAAATGTTTTCCTTTAAAGGATTCTATCCTTCTAAGCCTGGAAAATACTGTTTTCTGACTTTATTGAATTCTGGTGTACTTATCACTCTTTAATACTACAGCACATTCAAACCAGGCTTTTTTATTTATGCTCATGCAAAATCCTCTGTTATGATACTTATTGAACTGCTATGACTAAAAGATTCTTAATATCTTCAATTTTCTGGTGTCCAATTTCAAAATCATTTGAATACTGCAAAATGAAGGGAATGCGTGCTATAAAATGCTTGTTGTGAAGCACTTGTTTTAATGATTAGTTTCATTCCAAGATACCCTAGACCTGATAACTACATGTGCCTATATGTCTGAAGCCATATATTTATGAAGGAGTATAAAAACAAATACATGTGTGTGGATTTGTGTCTGTGCAGGTACACATATATCTGCACATCCACACAAACTCATGTGTTCACATACTAAGGGTTAAATATTTAAATTAAAGCCTATGTACATATATCTTTTAGGAAAATGGTCAACAAAGAACAAAGGAAAAATGTCTTTGTCTTAAATCACTTATTTTTTCTGAGAGCTGGCAGTGTACGGCTATGGTTTCTTTTGGTCTAAGGAAAGATTGCCATCTATTGGATGACCTTGGAAAAGAACAGGTTTTTACTATGTATGTGCTCTGTAATTCATGAAAAAATATAATGAAATTGAAGACTTGGAGCTTAGATTGTATATGTTACTATTGTGAAATAGTAAAAAAGCTGCTATATTTTAAAAACTGTGATTTTGAATTCTAGTTTGACTTATGTTAAAAAATGCAAAGACAATAGGTGTTTGCTTCAGAATGAACTAAACACTGGATGTGCGTGTGTATACAGTAAGCTCTGGTAGCAGTTTAAATGTTTGCAGACTATTGAATCCAAGAATTTTGTTATTTAAGTTTACTGGAATACAATGAAAGAGACTTAGACCACCTATTAATATATTTATAATATATTTTCCTCTCAAGATTTGGGAACTAAATGATACTCTTCTCCTGAAAACAATATTTGCCCAGCTCTTATAGTGAGTTGCAGTGGATTGCATTTAAAACAAAAATATCACTCGGTTTGAGCTTAAAATGTAATGCTTTTTTTTTTTTTTTTTTAACTTTCAGCCCAAGAACTTGCCAGTCAAGATGAAAAACAACTTCTAATGGAATCCAGCTTGAAAGCAACTCAAGAGCAGCTAAGTGAGCAAATAGCAGAAACAGTTTGCCAAGAACAGAACAGTAGAAAACCAGAGTCGAAGAGCTGGAGACCCTGAGAAAGCGTACTATGACTTCTGAAGAAGAAATTAGTGATTACAAGTGAGTTACTGCTCTTTTGGTATTTGAGAAACAGAAGACATTAAAGTCAGCAGTAAATCCTTTTAATATGTACTGTATTAATCATTTCTCTCAGGTAAGAAATAGTGTAAATGTGTTCTGTAACTCTATTGAATAAACTATTAAATATAAATGACTGATTAATGTATGCTTTAAAATACATTCTGCATTGAAAAAGATTGAATGTTGAAAAATACTATTGTTAAGTGTCTGCTTTATTTTTAAAATTAATATTCTGTAGTGTTGAAGTAGAATAGTGTGTATAATTATTTATTACCTATCTGTTAATGATATTCTCATCTTCCTCTTTTTAGAGACCAAAGGTTACATATGGGTCTTATCTTCTTTCTTTTTTGTTAGAGAAGCTGCCTCTAAGCAACAGACTGCCAAATTAAAGGAAATTTGGTGTTTGAACTTTTAGTCACAACACCAAGGCATATATGAAGTTGCTAACATAAACAAACGAAAAAAGCAGACTCTAGAAAAGTTTACTTCTGCTCTAATCAGAGCAGAAATACTTCTGCTCTAATCAACCAAATTTAGTATCTATTAGACTGAATGTTAACTCATGGGATTTAATTAAAAAGTAACAATGTGCAACAATTACATTTTGTAATTTAACTTAACATTAACTATATTTTTATGTTGAGCCACAAAGTGATTCATTACTTAGAGTTTTCAAGATTTAGAGTATGGTAAAAATTACTCACTTCAACTGATTTTTTTTTCATGCAAACAGTCACTTTCTTCTTGTTAAAGTTACGTTACATTAAGTAATCCCTATATATACAGACGGAATCTCAAGCTGTTTTGTAATATCACAGAGCATGATGAACACTTTATACAAGATAGTTTGGCTGCAAAAAAATGTCTATTCATTTGGTGGTGGACTGAACATATAGAGCTAAATGTTTTTTCTCAAATTTGTGGCAAGCATCAAATATCTCAACAAATCTCTGAGAGAAGGTTTGCTAAGTTCAAATGCAACAAACATCATGCATCTAAAATAAACTATGGTAATATATGCTCAGTATAAACGACTTTAGACTGGAACTTCATCTGTTCTGTAGTTCAAATGTTTTAAATTACTTTTTCTGCTGAAGACTGAGAAAAGCTTCATGGAAAGAAACATTGCCTTCAGTAAAGTGTCTTCATTTCTTTAAATAAAATAGCTTGCTGGGTTTTAACCTGTAGTTATACCTCTAAAGATGTAACTAGTACTTCTCTAGGGAAAACACTGTCACTGATTTACTTTCCTAACATAACTTGAATCTTTTGCCACAGTGGGTTTTCTTTACTATTTCAAGTGATTCCTCAGTTGCCAAAATGCCATGTTATGCCAATTCTTGTAGATACTTCTTTGAAAATAGAAAGGTCACAAACTTCTAGGATTACTGATTGTGGTAACTTAGTGTGAGATGGGGGGGGGGAATGGAATTGAAACTCCCAGCTGTAACTGATCGATTGTATCATGAAATATAGCTTTTGAGAGAGCAGGAATTTTGCAAAAGTTCAGTGAAATGAGTTTCACTAATGTTGAAATAGAAAGCCAAATGATAATCATTAGAAGATTTTCAGAGGGACTTTTTAATAGTTTTTTTTATTGTACTTTGTATGAACAAATAAAACTTGAATGAATCTCTTAACATGCAAAAATTATTAACTAATCTACGTTTTTCTGTTCTGCTTTCTACACTTGTTCAGTGACTTTGGAAGTTTGTTACTTCAGTACATGAACATAATAAACTCTAGTAAGAGTAATCTTTTCTTAGCTCTACAGATTATAAAATTATTTTTTTATTTAATCTTATGTAAAATTTTGACCTTAACTTTGTGATACTATTGCTTTTTAAAAGCATTCTGACTCATTGCTGCAGGATCACCATCAGCAAAGTATTTTTTGAATCTGGAAAATTAAAACTGCTAGTTTAGAACAATAGGTTTAGTAAAACGGAACTAATAAAGCTAAAAAAAAATGGACAACGCAGTTGGAGACTTTAAATATTGAAATTTCCCTTTAAAACAACATCTTACTGTCTACCTGAAAACAATAATGCAGTTCCAGTCAGTATCTGCTCTCTTCTGTTCCTTGGGAGACAGAAAGAACAATGGATCTCTGTCCCCTGGGTCTTTTGGGACAGGGAATGTCACAAGGGTTATGTTCAGTCACTATGAAGGGTAGCTCATGTGTCATAAAGTAGCATCCCTTTGGTGCTGACTTATTCAAAGTCATACAGTCCTGGACTTTACCTACCTTCCTACTCCGAGAATCTGGCAAATGCAGCTGGTATCAAGGCAAGAGCATAGGACTATACAAAGAAAAAAGCAGCATGAATTGGTCAGTTAAAACTACACTGAGACCTGAGATTCTGCTATAGCTGTTGTAAAGCCTTCGAGGGGAAAGGTCCGTTTCTCTATGCTTTTTTTTCCGTGTTGTGAAATCCTTGTTAAAAGTTATTTTTTCATGGAAGTGGTGAAAAAAGGAAAATGGTTGACTAGGATTTAAAAACAATACAAAGACCATTACATTCAATTGTTTAATAGAATAAAAATACTTAGTTTTAAAACAGAGTAAAAGTATTTTCTCCTAATTTCACAGGGTGTCCAAAATACATTTACTTCATAGGGAATATAACTGAAAGTTTTTAGAAGTCACAAGCTTTGTTTGTTGTGGACTTATCCCACATGAGATAAACCTAAGGTAACACACCCCCAGCCCCCACCCACCCGCCCTCCCCCATATAAGCCTGTTACACCTGAAAGATTTGTTCAGAATGTCCAGTGGGAACCTGGAAATCGTAATAATTTGTAGTATCGATTGTGTGAAGCTATGCAGCTGGGGCCTCTAGTGAATAGACAGGAATAGACATTTTATTGATTAACTTTTACAGTCATATTTTCAGGACTGTGCTGCAACATAATTTTCACTTCCCAGCTTTGTGCTGCTGCATCATGAAACTTGGATTCTTCTCTCTTAACATTTACCCACCTGAGAGAAACAGTACAGACTTGTCTTTTTTGAGCTGTGCTCTGCAGAAATGCATAATATTTGGTGCAGTGAATTCTTTTACATTTCCCCTCTGCTGTCACAATAAAATGAAAAATCTTCACAAGTTATGTTAGCAAGTATTGAATAAGATGAACATTCCCCCACAACCCCCCACCCAGAGCTATTGTGTAATACCTTCTAGTAATTCTATTCCTCCTTTGCATTTTCATTTTTATTTTCTATGCGGATAAGATTGTGGCAAAAGCAACCCCTCTCCTCACATCCACAAATTCCAGAAGTGCTTAAAGTAAAACCAGGACAGACCGTAATGAAATAGATGCTTTTATTAGTTAGTGGAAATTTAAAAATTTAAGAGGGGAAGGTAAAAATGTTCCCTTGAAAATCAGAAGGGAATTATCAATAAAAACTTATTCATTTTCAGGATTGACATCCTGCATTAACTAAAAATTGCTTATAAAATTACTGAGAGGGCAGGATTTCAATACAGTTACTAATAATTTTTAAAAATACATATATATGTACTGAAGTCTTAAATAAAGAAAAATCTTAAAAAAACATTATTTTGCATTTCTGGAACTATTATTTTCCAGAAAATAATAAAAATGGCATTGTACCATTTTGCAAAGGACTTTTGCATATTTACTGCTTTTTTTTAGTATGGTTACTTTTTACATAAGATGCCTAAGCCATTTCTCTTTTATGGACTTGCAGAATTACCAGTGAAAATCCTGATCCTTTTTTATTAATTTAGTGACTGTTTATTACTAGTTTTTTTATGTGCTTACTTTCACTTAGACCACGTTTTTACCATACGTTTAATAATGGCTTATAGGCTAACATGATTTAAACCTCTGTCATCACACTATTTTTTCTATGCTATGTTGTTATTAACATCTTCTAATTATATCAGTGTTTAAGATATTCGTGGTCATGTTCCCTTTTGTCCTTCCCCTCTCATCAGAGACATGATGGTGTGCACCATATGGAGCTACAACTAAGGCAGAAATTCTCCCATCCATCACAAAAGGTTGATTTTGTTTACCGTCGTCAAACTTATTATTGAATGATTCCCATTTTGTTTAAAATATCAAGAAAAGGGTGGAGGACTTTAAGGTAAGAATAACAGTATCAAAGAAAGAGGACAAATAGCAACTTTCTCAAGGCTTCAGTGTCCACTGGACCTGGAATAAGCTGAAATAGTCTCAATCAGGTGAAGAACTAGAAAATTGGAAGTGGGTTTCTTCTTAGGCATGGAAAATTAGTGTTTTATATAGGAAGCTGAATAATGTAGTATCAGATTTTAATGGCATCCTAGGCTTCAAACATATACAAATGCCAGCAGTTTTGTAAAACCACTTACCCTATAAACACATTAAATGCTGTTCACAAATTTGCAAGATTGAAGATGAAAACTCTTTTAAGTGTTGTTCATGATTTTATTTTGTAGTTGTGATGCTTTATTATAAAAGTGGTGAATTATAATGTAAGGATTACAGGAAATCACTGAAGTGTCTGATTGTATTTTAATTTAGATTAATTTGATTGAAATCTAAATTAGTGTGTGTGTGTGTGACTTAGTTAAAGAAAGGAGAAATTTCCTCTTCTGAACATTTGTGGAGATGTTAAATGAGATCAAAGTACTATTTCAGTAAGTTTTATATGTTCTAGGTAGACAATCCACTAAGTGCTCGGGACTCCATGCATAGTATGTTAACTGAATTGTTAGATTTTCTATTTAATTTCTTTCTCCTTTTCTGTTTTGACATATCCATGCTGAGTCTTTTTGCAGTTGTGGTAACCTTTTCATTATGAATTAGGCAAGGTAAACTTTAAAATTTGTAAGAAGTTAAAAAACTTGAAATGTTTTAAATGTTAATCTATATTAAATTAATTAGATGCAAAATACAATAAAATGTTTCTCAGACAGAGTGATTTTTCACACTGCACAAATTCAGGACTAGTAATAGTTCTCAAATTTGATCAGAGAATTTTAAGGTTTATTGTGACAGTTGAGAGCTGGTTAACTGCATCAACTGTTTCTCCTAGAGAAATTGCAAATCTGAAATATTTCAATAAGCTCGTGCCATTTAGTTTGATTTTAATTTCTAACTATTCCTGGAAAAATGAAGGCAAGAAGTAAATGAAAATTTCTGTTTATTGACTTTCACAGTACCTATGTCACAACTACTAAAAAAAATAAATTAAATAATAATTACCTAGGAGATGACTGTTCAGGCATAGGATATGATCCTATATATTTGTGTCTTCCCAGACTCTATGGTTATGACTGGGAAAAGCTGAATTGATTGCAACGGAAATCTACCTGACAGTAAGTATTTGCAGTGGCAGGCAAAATTATTTAAGAAAAGAGAACATAAAATTAAGAAAGACAGATGGACTCATAAGAGTGAAATACAAATAGTCTGAATCAGGATTGATTTCAACATAATGTGGTGGAGGAATCCCCATTTATTGATCTACTTTAAAGCCCATGCACAGCACTTAAAAAGATAAAGTAAGCAAGGTCAGATAATCAAAGCATTTAAATAGTAAAAACAGCAACTGCCACTGTAGACTGCTAAAATAAATCCATAATACAAATTGCTTTAGCAAAAAGTGGATGAGCAGCTGATCTTCCTATTGAACTTTTATACTGTTCAGTGACCACACTGGGGAAAGGATTGGAAGAAATGCCTTGAAGATCAATATTGAGTGAGATGTAGCAGGGATTCATTCTGAACATGAAAGAATTACAAGTATGAGAGTAGAGAACTTGAGGAAATGTCATCAAGAAAGGATTGTTTTTGTAAAATACCACACATATTATATGAACATGGTATTAGTTGATGTTCTATTAGGATCTCTGAACATTCAAAGCTTATTAAATCTGAAATTTAGTTATTGCAAAACATGAAAATAGGACAAAGAGAATAATGATTTTAGTAAAATTGCTTCTAAGAATTTAGTAACTTCTATCTTCAAAACAAGAAAGCTTTTAAACATATTAATTGATATAGTATTCAGAGGAGGCTGCTACTTTCCAGCCATATACATTTCAATTTTTTTCTGAATAGAAATGATAAAGCAGAACATTTTACTGGGTTTTTTTGGATCTTTTTTTTTTCTGAGACCAATATGCACCTGTAACTAACATGTTTAATGTAAGTGCTCTTTCTTCAAATCTGTTCTAAATAGAATTTTCATAGACATTTTAAATATTTTGTAGAAACTAGAATGCTCTAATGCAAGTACTTCAAATTTCAATTCCTACTAATTCTGTATAAGCTTTTTTTAATATAGGTGTTTAAAATGTGTCATTGCTTTCATTTATAGGCTATAGCGCTCTTCAAAGAGTATTTATGAGAAAGAAAAACTAGATGTAGTACTACTACAGTAGCTCATTGTTTAAAATACGTTGTTTTCATTCACAGTTTTATTATATCATTGCATGAGAAATAATGCATTTTCATAGACATATCGTCCCTTTTAAATGCAGAATCGTGCTTTTTTTTATTTTTGACTGTAATATTCCTTTACTTTCAGGTTCAATACCCTACATATAAAAATGGTGTTATGGTTAGAAAGTAATAATTCAAGGTTTTAAACAATAAAAATCACTAAAAACTAGAGTGTTTCAAGGATACAGAAAATACTTTAAAAAACAAGTAAAGAGAGCTTTTGTGTTCTCTTTGAAGACCTTGTTTGACAAGGAACTGACTCCCAAAATCATAAAGTTTGTTCACTATGGTTACTGTACAATGCATCTTCTTATAATGTATAATTATTTACAACTAGTCTTGGCTCCATTTTTGCTGTGTGAATTGCTGATTACATCAGTATCAATGGTAAAATTATGAAATCATGTTCATAGTTGTCAAAGAAAGGTCAGCTTATTTGCATTTATTAGGAACTTGGGGTGCCATACAGCATGGCTTTCTTCTGGGATGTTTACAGTTATTGATTTGTATACAGCTTTAAGAAAAATTAATTAGAATTAGATTTTACTTACTACTGCAGGCTGTATAATAATAACAACAAAGTTCTACTTAAAAAAAATTGAGCCAGAAAATTAAATAATTTGCATTTTTAAAAGTTAAAATTGTTAGATTTAACTTATTTAAAATAATCTCCTTTGAATAGCTTGAGGAAAACTCTTAGTGAACTTCTGTTAATACTCACAGTACATTTGTTTGCACAAAAATGCATAGGCACTTCCATTAATGTGACATAAAATATTCAAAACTTTTTTATTTAGGAGTGGTCTTTAAAGATGCTTAAAAACCAAGAACAGATTTAATCATATGCTTAACGTCCCTTGTATAGTGAACTTTTCTTATATAACCGTATAGTTACTAACTACAAAATTTAATTTAGGCGTATGAATAATCCTGTCCTAATATATGAGCTTACATTTGTACTCTAGTTATTAAAGATCTTTCAAGACCAAGAGCTATATAAAATTGTATGGAAATGTTATAGCCATCGTTGACTGCCAGCTCTTTAGGTCTGAAAAATATGGGTAGCGTCTTTAAAAAAGTGTTCATGGGAAAAATACCAACAATGTGGGACCAGGAAAAGCACATGGTCAGACTGTGACAAAACCTTGTTGAAATGGAGAGAGAGGTGGAGAACTTCAGATGTACAGATAGCGATGATGCTCAGGTAGTATGCATTTGAAATCCGGTTAGTATTACATTGATAAATACTGTACATGGTTAGCGCATATTTCTGTGAACTTTTAACACTTCAAATTGATTAGAATGTCTTATTTTGATTATATCCATATTGTTCATTAAGATAAGATTGAGTCCTTAAAAAATGTTTGGCTTATTTCCATTACATTCAAGAATGTTTAAAGTAGAAAATATAGAATACAGTTTTCCATATTGTGCATATATAACATATGTTTGAGATTAATCAAATTATAGTCACCTCTAATTAACAGCAGGGAACAATTCCAACATGGGACAGAGCCAGATGACAAAGAAATGAAGCATATATTTAAAAGATGCAGCTTATTAGGAAAAGAAAAATAGGTTATGACTGCCTTAAGAGTACTGAAAAGTTTTTAAACCTCTGGTTCTGTGCATGCGATTAATAAATTTTATTTTGCTTTGTTTTTTAGCTGGGCCAAAAATTTTCAGAGCCCTACAGCTCTGTAAGTAAATAAGAAGTTTTCTTTCAAAGTTGATTCTTTTCATTCTCTATGATTACTAAATCAAAAATAAAAAAGACTTCTGCAATTTCAAATCAGCAGCTTTTGTCACAAATTCTAAAAATGCCTCATTTGTATGCCAAAATTTTGCCTTTCGCCAAGGCCCTTGCTTATCACCACAGAAAAGGCAATGATCAAGGAATTGATCAAGGACATACATTAGAGTAAGTAAATCGAGTTTTTTCTCTTGTTTTTTTTTTTTTTTTTTTTTTTTTTTTTTTTTTTTTTTTTTTTTTTTTTTTTTTTTTGAGTAGGAAGTTGTATAGATGAAGAAAACACTAGGAAAAAAAATAAAGCGGTTATGCGATGAAAACAACTTGAAAACTAGATATTTTCCTGGCCTCTCCCTCAGAAATAAAGAAGATATAAACCTCTAAATTTTTCTGAATATCCAATCTGAGATTCTGCTCTCTAATATATGACAGATTGGACTTGCCCAAGAACAACTGCAGCCAATGATAATTTGCTTTGAATAAGTTAAAGGTCTTTACAAAGAAGCATCAACAAAAGACATGAGAAAACAATGTTCAGTTGTGTCCTGTGTCCAACTGGGGATTTGAACCAAGGTCATTCCCATTGCAGCAGAGGACAATAGTGCCTGAGCACGTACGAGTTTTTTGTCTCTCATTGATTCAATAAGTGCTAAAAATGCCAAAAAAGGGGGAAGATGCTTCAAGAAAGACACAGAGCAATCCCTCTCAGATCAACATGGAATGATGTTGGTTCAAACTGCTTCAAAATAAAAGAAAAATTAATCTGTATTCTCATATATCCCAAGTGAGCGTTTTGATTGAAACCAAGTTTACATTTTATTTTTACTTCATGTGAACTTCCTTATCTTCTTTTACCTCACATCCCCAAATCTGTTTGCTTCAACTGTCTATGTATAAAATGATAATAGAGCTATATTCTCACATCACGGGATGCTGATATTTATGGAACACTCAGACACCATTGTACTGAAAATCAGCAGCTGTATTTGTATTGTCTTTTTAGTTGTGTCCTCATGTGAGCCATGTTTCTCAGTTCAAGTTGTGTAAGCTGGTGCACACAGACATTTTCTGTAGGTTGCAGATTCAGAATTTGCCACTGAATGGACAAGAAGTTTGTTCCAGGATCTCGTTTTGAACTTCACTATTTTGTGCAGTGTCCACAATTTTTAGAAGAATTACATGAGAATTAATATGTAAGTTTTGGAAACTCATGAAAAGTGAAGGAATTTTTTCATTCATATCAGCACTTGAATATTGTACTTTAAACACTAAAAGATAAATTAAAAGAAATCAAAATGTTGAACTATTTGCCCCCTAAGTGATAAAAGTCATCATACAAGCTTGATGTTTAAAGGAAGTGATAATATCAAATGGCAAAGACATGCAAATATGCCTACATAGGTTGGGCAGAAATTATTATACTTAGCATCATTAATTCTGTACTGGGAATACTGAATATTTGACTTTGCCACGGTAGTTTTTTTAAAGTAAAATTAGCATCAGAGCCTCTTCCCAAGTCAAATAGATTTCAGGACGTACCCAATCTAAAAGTAAAATTGCATTCACCTCTTTTATATGGATATTTTTTGAAAGGAACACCTGTGCAGGTATTCCATGCTTTGTGTGGTGTGTTGTCTGACTTGACCAGAATAAAGATTAGACAAGTAGATGCTTTCTCTAGTAGATAATTAATTAGGCAAAAGTAAAGCAGCAAAAACCCAGGATGAGTAAGAGCCATAGCACAACACAGACCTTCTCCAAGACAACAGAGCTTTTCAACAGAATGGATATAGAACTTTAGATAAGCTCACTCTCTCTGCTAACGCAGTGACATATTTGTTAATATCTTTCTTAGAAATACCCATATTATTTTCATTTACACTTCTCAAGATAATTTGGCCTTGAGCAAAAATTCAGCAAGATAAATTTCAATCCAAACAGATGAAGTTGGGCAGAGCTCTAGGCAACTGAAACCCACATCTAATAAAGGAAAACTGTGGTAGGCAGTAGAATGATAAACTACTACAATAGCATCCTGGCAATAAATGAAGCTAGAACAGCTGAATTTTTTTGATGATATCATCTTGCTGAAACTGGTGAGAGTGTGCAAGGGCTTTTTTGATCATAGACATCAAATGAAAGAAAATAACAAATTCTAATGAAAGAAACTTAACCTTGATATGAGCTTAATAATCCCTTACCTATAATTTTCATATCTGTAATATATGTTAGTCCTTTAAGGATAAACATCAGCGATATCATGGAGAAATTCAGAAGAATTTTTTAAAACAAGGAAATAATCTTGTTTATTTTCTTTAATTCTTTCAAAATTGAACTCAGAAATTTATAAGGAATGGACTTTAAATTGACATTTATTATTGTATTTTATAAAAGCTATAACAGCCATCACCTTCTTCTAAAACCAAGAAGAGAGTTAAGAGAAGGCCATGGTTATGTTCGATTTTAAGCTTTGATTTTTAGTTCGTTTGGGATTCTCTTTCAGATGGATATTTCCGTTGTCAGAATTCAGAGTGGCAATATATTTTTCTTTCTAGGTCTGGTCACACCTAATATTACCTGAAGGTCCTTCTTAAGGCCTCAAAAAGACCTTTAGGCCTCTAGAAAACAATGGATGTTTTGAAGTAGAAATTTTTATCATCGGACACGACAATATTAAGTCCATCCTTGTCATTATAGATTTCTTGCACACTTGAGTGTTCTGTTGTAGATTGTACTGTTAAAAGTAACCCCTTCAATTCCTACCAAGAATGAATAAATTTGAGTGACTTTGTTTTGTTTTATTTTGCTTTTGTGGATTTGTTTGTTTGTTTGTTTTTTTGTTTGGGGATTTTTTGTCTGCAGAAGAAAAATTAGGTCCACGGATCTTATGGTTAAAGGATCTCTTATGTCAGGTCTTAACATTTGTCTTTTTAAATCTAACCGAAGGTCTATTCAGCTAAATACCTTTTTTGCCCCCAGAATTTCTGTAGGTTTTGTTAGTTGTTTTTTTTTTGCTTCTTACTATGGTTGACCATTATTGCCGTAATGTTCATTCATTAGTTACCATTTTGGATGAGAACCCCTTTCACCTGTAACTGTCTCCCTAACTTACTATAAACACTTGCCTTTCAGAAATATAAGCTCCCGATGATTCAATGAACCCACATAACAGTAAATTTTCTTTTTTTTTTTTCCAATTTTTATTGAAAAACACTAGTTCATGGTACTTCCACTTTGTCTGTTGTCAGATTTAAATATAATCACCAGAAGTTTGTTGATAGCAGTGACTCACTGAGAATTATAAAGAATTTATATTTGCTTCCCAGAAAATGAGAGGGAATGTTGACCACAACAGTTCACAGTCACTTCCTCATGTATTCTCCTGCTTCGCTAGAAGCATTTTTATTTGCTCACCTTTTACATCTCTCCAGGATCTTCTGCTGAAAAAGCTATCAAGTTGTTATGTGTTGATGTGTCACATATTAGCTGTTTTTTACCTTATCCTCTTGTTTCAGTGCTTTTAAAAGTTGACCTGTGCATTCTGATCATTTCTAAAAAAACTCCCTAGAATTACATGACCTGTAAGTTCAATTAGAACCCCCGGTCTTTGAGTTTCTTCTTCTTCAGATCCTTAATGCCCTCTGTATGTGACAAAAGAAAGACTATAATTTTCTCCAACAGGCCATCCTTGTTGAATTTTCTGGTCATCTGGACTACTTATCGTGCATACGTGGTCTGAAAGACTTTAGGTGGTGAAGCTGAAGTAGATTTTGTTAATGTGAAAGTGAAGGACCTCATGTCTTGTTCTTGTCCTGAAAAGTCAACAGAACAGGAGGATAAAGAAAACAATTTCAGAATTTATTAACTCAAGGTACTATGAAAGCAACACCTTTCCATGGAAACCCTTAATTAATTTATTTTTTTTTTATTTATCCATGGGGTATTTTAATGGGAAAAATGATAGTTATTTGTTATCCAGATAACTGATGGTGCATCTCAATACTCCTAATTATTAAATACATGTTCCAGATTACATAACACACAAATATACATTATACAAAAAGCTGGAAAAATATTTTTCATACTACTTCTGGAAAAGGGATTGGCATCATGCCATTTTGAATTTGTGCCAGCTAGTGTGTTGAGATCTCTACAAATGTGCATTTTTAAAAGTTTATAATTGTTATTCTACTCAGGCCTACTTTCAGAAACTCTTCAAAAAAGTGACAAATTAATCCTCAAAGTCTTCACTCTTATAAGTATCTCTGTCTGCCCAATATGTAGTTTTAATAATTTATGAGGTTTAGTAATGCATAAAGAAATACAACATTAATACAAAAACTTAAAAAGCAAATTACATGGAGTATTATTTTGATTTTGGAAACATCAAACTGTGAGAGATTTGCAATAATATTAGTGAAAATACCATTTTCACTTATCTTTTGTTTGTGAAAAAAAAGTTCTAATGTTCATGACTTTACTTAACATTATAGAATATTCCTGGATGAAAAAAAATCTATGAATTTTAAAGAATTCATGAAAAATAATTGTGGCAATAACATCTAAGTCTTATCTGGCACTTTACATTCAGAGATTTCATATTTTGTTAAACATGTGTAATTTAATCTAAATTTTTAGGAATACTAGGATTTCATATATGTGTGTATTTATAAATGTATTTCTTGGGGAATAAAATTGATTTTTATAGATAAGAATTTTGGAGCACAAGATAGTGAAGTGTCTTGTCTTAGGTATCAGCAAAGATAAAAAGACAAATACCACTTGAATACCTTTTGAATAAAGAGATGGGAAGAAGACTGATTTATAACACAGAGTGAATGAGCATGTGAACTCACAGGAGCCAGCTACTCTACAGAAAGTCTCTTAGTATGAACTGAGAGTCCATGGGAAAAAAATGCAGCAACTTTTTTTTGTTTTTCTTTTAGTTTAAAGGGAATTGACTATTTCAAGTTTATTTAAAGGGAAAAAAATGCACACAGTCTGACAATATTTGCATTCTTTCTTACTCTGTAATTTTCTTGCCTGCTCCTGGGGTTTTTAAATTCATTTTCTATTGATAAAGCCATGCAAACTCAAGAAAACTAGTTTTCTCTGCCTCCTCTTTTTTGCATATGTATTTATATAGAGAAATGTCTTTTAGTTTGTTTATTTATTTTTACTTTTAACTTGATACAGGTGTGTAGTTTGAGTGTTCACACTTTTCATCCCTGTAATTATTACACAGGGTAGAACACATTGAAGTAAGTGGAACAATATAATAAAGTGTTAGTTTAAATTAGATACATTAGAGAAAGGAATAAAGATTTGTCAGGAATCAAAGCTTTTCCATCTAAATTATACCATGTAATCTAAACTGCTTTTAAACTTAAAAAGCATGCAAATCACACAGAGAAACAGGAAGAAGGGATTGGCTGGACACATGAAAAACGTTGCCATGTGCTATTGTGCTTTTAGAAAAGCAGTCTCAGCTGAGAATGCTCCAGCTGGACTGTGGTGCAATGGAAAAACTTAATACTTAAAATACTGCAGTACTCAGGTAATAGCCTTGGTACAGTATATGAAATTGAAGCTTAAATTTGAAGTAATATAAGTGGATGTTTGTAAGGGTTTTTTTCCACTTCAAAAGGAAATATGATTTAAATAACATTACATATAAAATTCACTTTCAACATATGAGAATTATTATTGAAAATATTTAGTCAATCTAAAAGTTCACTCCTTCTTTTTAAACTCTTGTAAGTGGGATTCATCTTGTCTAATAGTAGATATCTGCAATTCAGGTGGGAATATATGAGAGTGGTACCTAAGTTTTTGTTGTCTTTTGAGACATAATCAATTCACTGAATGGAATCAAGAGCTGAATAAACACCAAGCCAGTCAAATGCTAAAGTGTGTTTTGAATAAGTCTAAAAAGTCTCCAGATGAACATTCAACCAGACCTCCTCTCAATGTAATGAAGAGTACATATGCAGTCACGCATAATGACTAAATGCAGATGTACAAATTGATGATCTAATGAGTTACTTTTTCCCAATAATTCATTAAATGCTACAGAATCATTTTATTTATTTACTTATTTGTTACTACTAAATATTTCACAGGCATTAATACTGGTCTTTGCTCTGAACAATATTTAATATATAAATACAAGGTTTTAAAAGGGAATGGCATAGAGAAAAAAGTTAAAATAGTATATGATCTGTGTGTCTTTTACTTTTTATATTTAAGGTGATTTTTTCTTTTGGAGTGTGGGTTTGTTTGTTTGGTAGTAGTGTGTTTTAGTTTTTTTCTAATAAAAAACAAAGGTCGAGAGAATTTGAGTAGATGAGAAAGCAGGAAAATAAAAAAAATAGTAGAATGACTAATACTGTTTTCCACCCTACGGTAACCATACGAGGCCAATGGAAATGGATCATTTGCTGTATTATTGCACTAAAGCAGTGTATTAATTCTGGAGCTTGACTGAGCCTTGAACAGAAAGAATAGAATGAAGTTTGTTCAAACAAAATTTGTTGCCACCTGTGAACCGTATGGTTGCAAAGTATTTCCATTGAAAATATTTAAATATTCAGAGGCAAAATTTTGATTTTTGAAGGTTTCCTCCCATGCTAGTTCACTGAAAAGAGTAGTTGAAGAGACACTACACAAAATTTGGATTAAAGTTTTCACTTAATTTTATGATAAATGTTTTGCCTTTCCAGTATTTTTGATATATAATCCATTAGGTTATTAAATATTAATACAGTAAGTTTTTAGTTGTTTTACAAGTATTTTATAATAAGGCAATTTGAGAGTATGGAAAATTTAACATAGAGGAAAATATGCAATGAAAATCAAATCAAGCAAGTGCAATAGTTACTCATGATAACACTAGGATTATCAATGTATGACAACACAAATTTTTTATGCATATTGATTCTCGTCCAGTAGAGGCAAATTGCTGCTGAGAGTAAGTGGTTCCATTAAGCTTCCAAATTAGTGAATTCCTGAGCTTGGGAAGGTACACTGAAGGTTTCATCTTTCTAGATTCTTCTATTTATTATCTTTACTTATGTAAAGAGTTCATTAGAAAGAATTTAACATTGAAATATGGTAACTTTTTAGCCTCCTTTAATGTAGTCACGCATGTCTTTAACTACCAGACATAAAACTGCTTAATTCTGTGTATATTAATGGGTTCATATGTCATAAAGCCAGAAGAAACACTGTAATCGAGTCTCCTATGTGACACAATACAGGCCATAGAACTTCAGTGAATTAAGTGGTACATCATGTCTAAGTAAATGTGACTGAAATGGAGCATATTAAAATAGAGCATACATTTTTTAATAGATTCTTGACTTTAAAAAGTCACTGTAACAGAATTTGTGACAATCTTTCATACATTTTCTCAATAAATCTAGCTTTTGAAAACACACAGTTTGTTGATTCTGTATCACTTTAGCCTCTTACTTAGAATGTCTTATGAAACCTAATATAGAACAAAAGTATGTTATCTCATCATCTTGATCAACAATATTTGAAATATCATAAAACCAATACAGGAGATAGCAAGACAAGATGTGTTTACAATACATACACAATAGTGTATTTGTGGTAATTATATTAATCTACATCATTTTCTTTGTATCTACAGTCAATGCAAATTAGTGTGGATTTATGATATCAGCCCTTCCACAATTTGAGTGGATAAGATTTGTAACTGCCAGGGCAGAATTATTTGAATCTCATAGTTAAACCCTAAAAAGTATTAACAGAGAATTAGTAGAGCATTAGAGTATTAATTTCTACTTTTTAAAAAACTTTTCACAGTTTCAAAGACCACACAACCCAAAAATGGTCTAGAAATTTTTTCTAATGGTGCTTCAAAAGTTTTTAGGTATGATCTACCTAGGCAAGTTAAAATATACCTATATTTCTGTGATTGCAATAATTTTTATCCTAAGTCAAGGTACTGTGAATTCCATTGTTACTTTTAGTTTCTTAAATTTCTTCTTTTTGAGAGGGGAGAGAGGCAGATCTTTATAATGCTATTGAACAAATTACAGAAAGGATCTTAATTTTATATGCAAACAAGTTGGATTGATTACATCCCATTTGCTAATTTTTGTGGGATTTCTTCCTTTAAGATACTTTTTGCGCATGTATGCACAGTGACATATGAGTGTGTGCATGCAAATCAGTGTCTATAGTTACGCCTATATGCAAGTTATGACGTAAAATTTAAAACAACTTTAAGACACGTTTGCACCTCAAAATTATGACTTTTTCAAGACACATTTTGAAGAAGAATGTTAACTTTTATTTTTGTAATTAATTCTTTTTCATATTTTTGTTAATATCCAAAATAGAATCAATCAGAAATTTTAAAATTAATTTTATAATTGGTATAATTTATATATGGGGGTTGTTATTTAAAATTTTTCAAGGAATTTTTAAGGAATACTTTGATAAGCATAATTTAACATCTACAGTGTGCCAATTTTCTCTGAAGTCTCCAAGGAAAGCTTAGATTTTCTCCTCCAACTATAGTTCTGAAAAACATTTTTTTAAAAAATCTTCACAAACTTAATTTGAGATGTTCAGAAGTCTGGTAACCTAAAATAATTTATCTTACCTTTGTTGATTATGTTTTTGAGAATTTTGTTTCATTTGTGATTTCTAAGTCAGCAACACTAGGATATCAAGTGTTTCTAAGCAGATCACATTACTAAAATGACTAGTTTGTTTATTCATTTGTTTGATTCTGACAACAGTGATTAACTGGTATAGTGATTATGAGAACAGCATTCATAGAGTTAGCATTCCAACTAAACTTACAAGTAATTTTCTATCTATAGTGTTATCAATAAACTTCTGCATATATGTTACTCAAAGGAATCTAATAAGTAACTTCAGATTTTGAACTGCATGCACTAGATCGATCTATCTGAAAGAGACACTATTGATCAGATGATTCTTTTGATTTTGTTTCACTTGAACAAATAACTGCTGTCATAGGTGAAAAAGGTCTTTTCCTTTTTCAGTGGAATTTCTTCTAATTTCTCCCACCATTATGGATTTATAAGTGAGCAATTTCATATTTAATTGCAAAATAAGTGGAGGCATGTGTCTGGAAGATGGGGAGAATGGCATATTCAATTTCCTTGTGGCACATATTAAATTTTTAAGAACATATTTGCCTAGGCTTCTGCTGGATTTAGTCAGACTTCAACTAGCAGGTAAGTAAACATTGTATAAACATTTTATTTTTTGTACCAATGTTTAACCTCTCTTCGTTCAAACTTCATGATTTTTACATTTTTACATATAGTAGATTGTTTGTTGTTAGCAACCATTATAGGAAAAAATATACTGTGAAAGAAAAGTCAAATAAAGAGCTAAATTTTCAGAGTGAAAAACAGGACATTGGTTTGCATATTGTTTTAATACAGAATAAACAATATCTAAGAAAAAAAATTTGTTGGTTTCCTTGTTGGCCTTTATTGTTACTGCTTTATTGCAAACTTTATTGTTTACAATATTGTTTGTTACAATATTTATTGTTTTACAATATTACTTTATTGTAACTTTATTGTTACTCTATCAATAGCTGTTAGATTGTACTCCTATTACTATAAGACCATATGTTTTAAACATCTTCTAACTACTCTACTTCTTTGAACTGAAGCTTTATCTTTTAAAAGGATAGTATATCTTAGTTACATCAGTAAACTGACTGTTAGATAAAATGCATACAAGTAGAGGTGATATTTCTACCTGTACAAAGTGGAATTAAGTGTATATGATCCACTTTTGCTTCATTGTATGCTTAATGTTGTTGGAAAATTTAGACTTATAAAGATACTTCTGAGGTGAGTGCCAAAAATCAGAAAAATATAAGTGTTTAAAAAATTAGTCCAAGAAGTCTGAGTCATGTCTATGAAGACTCTTTCATTCATTTCTCCTTATTATTCTTTAATCGAGACTTTTACTTGTAAGGCATGTGAGACCATTCTCCAAAATTCATGTCAATTAATAATTTACTCCTAATTTGGTATAATCTCAGGAGATGTTTGAGGCACCTACTACTGCTTAGTATCAACCTGATGAGGGGGTTGAGTACTTGTGTGTGTGAGATGCTGCTCTACCATTTCTGCTTACATAACATTTTCACTTCTATATCTAAAATACTTTAGAAATTACTGTTTCAATTTAATTTATTTTCCCCTTCATTCCTCAATAATAATTCTCTTTTCCAGGTTAATTTCAGGAAATCTGTAGAGAGCTACATGCAAATGCCTTGCTTCAAAATGAAAATTTCTAGAATTATAGTCATTATGTACTTACACAGACACCTGACATGCTATGTACTGTAACCACTCTATAACAATTTATGGCTATGTAAATTGGGATGTAGAATAGTTGGTGTCTTTTATGTTACATCACTTCATGACTTTTATCTTCTAGGTCAAATACAACTGAAGAAATGTCTTGGGCTTGCTAAATTGACTTTGTACCACACAAGGTAACTACACAATGAAGTAATATTAATTTAGAGACAATATTATGATATGAGAGGAATTCTAGTCTGTTCCTATGTGAGAAGTCATGTTACTGCTGGAGAAATTAGTTTGAAATAAGTAATACCCTACATCTAAGAGAGCTTGAAAGGGAAACCATGTAGGCTAGTACCTTCTTACCTCTTTTTACGCTGTCTCTGTGTGCACATAATTTCTGTTATGCTTTGATGTTTAGAAAAGATTACAGTCTGGTACAATTACAACTCCTGGAGCAGTTCCACAACCATTGTGAAAATTAAAGAATTGAAATATACAATTTCTATTTTGTTTTTCATCATCCATATTAAATATAGATGACAGCCAGATAATATTTTATAGAAAGCAAAAAACCCTAAATTTTCAAGCATATTTCAAATGTATCCATAAGTCTGATTTTTAATATCCTTTCTTTGAATACATTTGCCAATAAAATATCCAGTGAATTTGACAAAGTCATTATGTTTGGGGGGAATATTAGGTCATGCTTGCAGATAGGGAAGAGTAGAGGATGAGAAAATATTCTACATTGAGAAAATATTATGATTTCATATAATGTTTGTTGATGGAGAGGCAAACCAAAGCTTGTCTAGCTCTGAGCATTCAGACCAGATTTAGGAAAAGATCTTTAAAAGAGAAATCAAAGTAATTGTGCATAAGTGAACATATAATGTTTATGAACCTTTTCTTGCAGAAAAAAGAAAGGTGTATTAGTATTCATATTTGAAATGCAAGATGTGTTGAAATTACTAAAATACATAATTCAATTAGCAGAAGAGAAGGAAAGGTCACATGATGATGTTCAAACACCTCTAGATATCCTTAAAAAACTGTAAAATTATGATGCAAGGTCAGAAATTACAGACTATGACCTCGTGTATTTTAGTGTGGAAAATCTGTTTACTCATCAAGTAATGAGCAAATGAACTTCCTGCAAAAAGATCAGTTAATAGCCACTAAGATTTGCCGAATGCAAATTTTTTCTTCAAAGAAACCTTGTTTAATGGTAGGGGTTTTTTAAAAAATTATTGTGGAGGCTGCAAGGAACCATTATTTTATATATATAGCACTAAGAATCTTGAATTCCTTTGGAAAAGAATATTCAGGATTTAAAAGGGTAGAAGTTTATGGGAAGGTAACTGCAAGTATATGTTCATAGAATCAAAGAATCATAGAATGGTTTGTGTTAGAAGGGACCTTAAGGATCATCTAGTTCCAACACCCCTGCTGTGGGCAGGGACACCTTTCACTAGGTTGCTCAGAGCCTGACCTTGAAGGCTTCCATGGATGGGGCATCCACATCTGCTCTGGGCAACCTGTTCCAGCGCCTCACCATCCTCACAGTAAAGAATTCTTCCTAATATCTATTCTAAATCCACCCTCTTTCAGTTTAAATCCATTCCCCCTTATCCTATCTCTATATGCCTTTGTAAAAAGTCCCTCTCCATCTTTCTTCTAGGCTCCATTCAGGTACTGGAAGGCCACAATTAGGTCACTCCTGAGCCATCTGTTTTCCAGGTTGAACAAACCCAAGTCTCTCAGTCTTTCCTCATAAGAGAGGTGCTCCATCCTTCTAATCATCTTGTGGCCCTCCCTCTGGACTTGATCCAACAGGTTGATGCCCTTCCTGTGCTATATGTGTGATATGTTGACAAGATAATGCTTTTTTCATCCTAGAGCACTGTGTAATCAGTTCTGTATAAAGTGTTGCACATAGTTACAAATAAAATTATTTTAAAAATCACTGCTGACTCTGTATTTAATATAAATTACTCTTAGGAAAAAACAGGAAAACATATAAGGTGTCATTACTATTGACCCTTCATAAATATTTGAGGATAGGGGGAGATGATTAGCTGCTTGGTAAAATAAAAAGTTCAGATTTATTTGGTACAAAATACATTCTCATTTAATTCTCAGCAATTCTACTGTTTTTTCTCTCAATAATTTCTAGGTTTGCTTGTCTCCTTATGTATGTTCCCTTCTAATTTTTCTCTTTTAAAGCAAATTGTAAGATTTTATATTATTTGATAATTTAGTTTCAGATTTCCAGTGTTTCCAGCCCTCTCAGTTCCAACTGCCTCACATCTTTCTGCTTAGAGTATCTGGCTGAAAATGCTCTGAAGGGTTCAAGGCATGTTTGCTACCAGGACAGAGTATCATGGAGAGGTGCTCGGAAGTTCGAGCTGTAGTCCCCATTCTGAATATGCTATGCATATCTTAATTGTCCTTGTAGTCATCCACATTGAAAATGTGAAAGCAGGGGTTTTTTTCGCTGAACCATTCACAATGACCAAGTTTATTGGGCACAAATCACAATTCAAAATAAGTTCACAATTTTATGGTAAGTGTGAAGGTCATAAGACTTCCTCACTTACACAAATTGTTGTTTTCTGGAACAATTGATCAAAGGAATAAATTTGTCACTGCTGCTGAATCAGTAGAGACAAAAGCCATTGCATGTTTCTGAAGAGGTTCATAAAGCAAACTATACTATCATGTTCTATATTATACCAATAGTTTCACTACAGATTTGCAGCAAACATTTGTCCTTTCTTCAACACCTTTAATGAATTTAATTTCTCAGTTCTGCTTTCTGTGTTGTATTTCCCTCCATGTAGCCTTTCAGTCCAAATCTTTCATTAAATTTTTCATACTCTTCCTTACTTCGGCAGGTGTGTTGTGGTTTTGCACTGCACTGTGTATTTGACAACTTATTGAAGATACGACATTGTTAAAGTGTGGTATAGAGACACTTGAGTTTTGTTCTAACTGGATTACTCCATTACTAACTACAGCCTATACAGAGCATTTTCAGTTCACTAGTAGCTGTAAATTGTAACCTACCCCCAATGAAAAAGAAAAAAAATGTGCAGACAAAGCTCTTGCATTGTATTTTGTATTTCAACAGTTATCCTGTGACTGGAACCCAAACGATTTAAAACTTAGTAGAGTATCCACCAGTACTCCATTAGAGACATTCTTTTATCTGTAATGTTGATGAACCTAAAAATTAATGTTATGAATTCTCTGTTATGCTGATGTCTCACATCTGTGCAAAGAAAATATTATTTCACCACCTGTAACATCTCTGTAAGTGAAGGAAGAGATGGCTTGTTGACTGTAGTAACCAAAGACACCAAAATTTTTGCACATTAACACAGCCTTTGTTCTTTTCTTTGTAAGCTCAGCTTCTCACTGCCCACATATAAATTTTATCTCCTTTACTTAGCATTAGAAGGCTAAGACACAGGCTTCTGTGTGACAGTGAATCAACTGACTGTATACTCCATTCCAATAACAGAAATAAGGGCACTGGGGACCATAGGACACAAAAAAATTTCCAGAGGCCTTCCAAGTGTCACTATAGCTAAGTTTATACATAGCTTTTTGACTCTACAGTTAAAGTAAGTGAAAAAAATTTTGCTACTGATGATGAATTTTCCACATTAAAGTACTGTGTATGTTTGACATGATTCTAATAATAGAAAAAACTTATTTCTTCATTCTGTTATTGGAAATTGTGTTTCCACTCTTTCATTTGTGTGACAGTTATTTTATTTTATCTTTAATTAGTTTCAAAGGAAAGAGGTGAGCTATTTGCTCTGTTTCAGGTTTTGATATTTGAATGTAAGAGAAAATGAGGAACCATGAGTAGAATAATTTACTTTATTCCTATTTACAAAATCCCATCTTCTTTTTTCAAAATTTATTTTATTATTTTCCCTATGATTAAGTGTTCATTATTAAAGAAAATATGTGTTAAATTGCTAAAACTAATTACAGAAACATTCTGCAAATATGTTTGAAGCATCAAATACCTTTCCCATGACATTCTGCTATTCTTATATTGGTTATTCTTTTGTTTTTGAAGAGTTTGTTTTCAGTCTGGACATTTTATTTCTTTTATCATCTTCCAATATATTTGTTGTTAAAATAGTCTAAACAGAGACAAAATCCACTTGATTCAGATATTGAATAATATCTGATTTGTTAAAAAATGTCTTGCTGACTGGCTTGAATCATTTATTATTACTTCCTTAAAATAGTCATAGAAACTCCAAAAGACATTGTCAGCTGTGCTATAGATCTTTAGCTGGGATATGGAAGAGATTCCATTTTGCCAGAGAGGAAAGTATAAGACCATGTTTTAGCGTAGTCTTAATGATCATTCTTTAAATCATTTCCCCGTGCTGCTCAAAATGCTGTTGATGATGTTGTTTTTGTTGTTGATTCTAAGGTATTAGCACTCCACTAAGCTATGGGGCTTGTCAACAAGGAATAGAATTGCCATGGTTTTCTAGTACAGTAGAAAGACATACTCAACAGGACATAATGAATCCCTGATTCATTTGAAAAGTTCAGTTCTTGTCTTGTCTTACCTGCTTTGGCATTAAAGTATGCAAGACTACCTGTTCTATCATTGCAAATCTGAGATTTTGCAGATGTAAATCCATCTGATTCTAGAAGCGGTTCTGAAGTTTTATTCTCTACTTAAAAGATGCTGAGAATATCTCGTATCTTTTGTAAATAGAAATCCAATGGAAGTTTCCTACATGGTTTAGCTAAAAAAAATAGAGGTAGGAGATTAACAAAGTAAAAAAATCAGAAAATACTGAAAAGGCCTGACCATGTAATCCTTAACCTACATGTGATCCTTAAAAGCACACATATATCTTAAAATATATATACATATATTTGTACATTATGATAAAAAAATGCTTCTATTGCATTAGTTCTTTTGCGTTAATAGAATAGAAATTTGAAGAAGAGGTGAAACCTGTATGACATATCTGTCAAAACATTCATTACAAACAAAAATCTTCACACCTTTTAACAGTAGATGTTATTTTATGCACATGTTTTGATGTCAGCATGATTATCTCTTTGTCATTCCTAGTTTGTAAGTACTCTTCTTGCTTAATTTGACAGCATTCATTCTTCTTCTCTAACTTTTTTAGTGCCTGTTCCTTCACAAAAGATAGCATTCTGTTGTCAAGTAGATTTTTAGTGTAGTAGGTAAATCATCACTGACCTTTTCTAGATTGTCTGCAATGTCCCTTATTTGACATGATTAACACTATGCAATTTATTGATCATCTTTTATTTCATTGTAGCTTTTAAGTACTGCATAATGATTAAAGTGTAGTTTATGTTGTAAATGTCATTTTTCTCCCACAAGTTTATTCCTGATGTCTACTTCCCCCCCTTTTTTTCTCCCTTCTATAATTTATTCATTGTTTTTTGGAATTAAGTAATTAAAGAAAGTGGTAAAAGTAATAAATATGAAAATCATAGAATAATAGAATAGCTTGAGTTTGAAGGGACCTTTAAAGGTCATCTAGTTCAACTCCCCCTTGCAATGAGCAGGGACATCTTAAACTAGATCAGGTTGCTCAGAGCCCTATCCTATCTGACCCTGAATGTTTTCAGGGATGGGGTATACACCACCTCTCTGGGCAACCTGTTCCAGTGTTTTACCATCCTCATTGTAAAATACTTCTTCCTTATATTAAATCTAAGTTGACTACTCCTTGTCCTATCACAACAGGCTCAAATAAAATGTTTGTCACCATCTTTCTTATAAGCTCCCTTTAAGTACTGAGAAGCTGCAATGAGGTCTCCCCAGAACCTTCTCTTGTCCAGACTGAACAACCCCAACTCTCTGAGACTCTCCTTGTAGAAGATATATTTCATTCCTCCAATCATCATCATGGCCCTCTGGACTCGCTCTGACAGGTCCATGTCTTTCCTGTGCTGGGGATCCCAGAGCAGGATGCAGTACTCCAGGTGGCATCTCACCAGAGTGGAGAGGAAGAATTACCTCACTCAACCTACTGCCCACCTTTCATCTGATGCAGCCCAGGACACGGTCGACTTTCCAGACTGCAAGCACACATTGCTGGCTCATGTCCGCTCTTTCATCCACCAGTACCTGCAAGTCCTTCTCATCAGGGCTGCTCTCAATCCTCCAGCCTATAAAATTACTGTTTAAGCTGCACTAGATCCATAATATGTCCTCTGTGTATGAGTTGCCTAACTGTAAAGCTAGAATACAAAATAGTTCTGATATTTTCTTAGTATTTTAGTTTGGGACATTATACTTTAAAGTTTTACCATGCTGAAAAGTACAAATTTAGAGTGAATAGGTAGACGTTTTAAAGTGAAAATGTCTACACAACTAGATGCATGATAAATCATGATTAGAACTTCAAATTCAGTTGAATCAGGGTAAAAGCTGTTAATGGACAAATTCAGTATTGTGTATTGAAAAGAAAATGCAGGGAGACATTTTTTGAGCTCAGGTAAATATATTCTTGAGCTTTATTTGACAAAATGGCTCAATGCAGATTAAAACAGTATGAGAGGAGTTCTGAAATGGCACCTGCCTACTTATCCATTTGTAATATTGACACAACATAGATTTGTAGTATGCAGAGTTGACAATTTCCAACCGGATGTTGAAGCACTGATCTACATGACAGGAATAGTGA